TAATATATATAAATTATATCATGGTTTTATATGAAGTGGGTGTGAGTGTTTCTCCACTATTGGCAACAATCAAGGCAATATAGAATCATCTACGCCACTTTTTGCCATGTGTCTGTTTTGAAATCGATGATCAATAATATTCTACTCTATGGTTCTATATACCTACTTTAAATATTGGCAGGCGGCAGCTGTAGTATAGTATAGTAGCTGCAGCATTTTATAATTATATTTAACTATGAAGTATAGATTAGCATTGGATATCACTGCACATCTGGTCTGTCATGATATACACATTTAACTGTTACCTAGCACAAAATATTTTAAGTGGTACAATTATAAATATTATTATAATTTTGCTACAATATGAAAGTATAATCTTGTTTTATTTATTTTGTTTAATATTGGATAACTTTTATAAATTAAAATAATATTCTATTACTTGCGTATAAACTACTAATTATTAAATTAAAAAATAGGTTGTTAACATGAATAGCTCAAATAAACTATGATAAAAAAAACCTTAAAAAATATTTTTTTTATATATAAGGTATTGTATTGTATTGTATTTTATATACATATTGTTATAAATATCTCAACCAGAATATTATTAAAACATTTTTCTTAATTCAAAAATTAAACAAAATGAAAATTGTGAAGTCAGTTAAATGAATCGCTTTGTGCGTATAATATACCGTGTGTTCAATTTTAAAGGTAACAGGAAATATTTCAAACGCATGACCTTGAATTTGATTCGGGGTTTTTTTACAGGATACAGGACATATATATACATATTTTTTTGATAAATTTAAATTTTTAACATTTTTGATAAAATAAAAATTTCTTAAATAGGAACCATTATTTTTGACACTGGATTTGGATTGCTCTATTTTTTTGAGCAACTTTGATCTTAACAGTTTGTTGATATCTTCAAAATTGCAATTTTTATGACGGTCGAAAGTTTTAAATCAGTATTAATTCGTAAATATCGCATTTTTCAGCGCTCTATCTTAATTACACATTTATAGGTAATATTATAACAATTTATTTCCTGTATCCTGTAAAAATAACCCGAATCAAATTCAAGGTCATGCGTTCGAAGTATTTCCTTTACCTTTAAAATTGAACACACGGTATTGCGACCTTTTGAATTTTAACTATCTACTCGCAACTATTTGAAACATAATATATACAGCTGTAAATTGTACTTATATAGSTACTATTAAAGAATTATTAATGGTACAATAGGCATCAGCTTGTGCTTATATCATGCAAAAAAATAAAATTCAAATAAATCTACATAATTTTGTAACTTTACATTTTTTATAATATAATACTATTATTCTGTAGTCAAATATTTCCAAATGTCATGAATACATTTTAAAAACTAATTGAAGTATATTTGCATAAGTAATTATAAAATGTTAAATAGTATAGATCAACGTGATGAATTTAATTTGATCAATTATTTTAAATTATGTAAAATAAAAAATACCTACTAACCGTAAATAATTCAAAATAGTTTTGGCTAGGTTTGTGCTGCGTTTAGAATACATAATTATCTCCATCTGTAATAATTTTTTTAAGACACTATGCGCTGTTTTAAGAAAATATTTTTCAAGTTCAATTTAAAGAAACACTTGAAGTTAAAATGAGATATCACATTATTTTAACTCAAAACAAGTTTAATAATATAATTGAACAATATGGTATCAAAAGTTATAATTAAATATATTTTAAAACTGAATTGGTACACAATGTAATGCGAGTTGAAAATGGAACCCTATATTGAGCAACTTATGAAAATATGCATGGGATGAGCCACCAAATACCCATCCGTAGTCACACTTATAGTTTCAACTTTCAACATATGCTGATTTCGTCCAGCTTTATTGTTTTAAAAGTTGGGATTTTTATTAACAAATAAGTTAACCTGAATATTTAATATAAATTTTAACGAATTTGCACCCCACTTAGTTTCGAAAATTCTTCATCATATAGTGCCAACTTCTTCTTTATATATATTATTATTATTATTATAAAATGTCTTGACAAGGTCATCTCACTTATCGATAAAATTAAATTTACATTTTTAACAGAGTGCCAACTTCTCTCTGGTATATTACCTATTAGTTTTGCCTATTATTTATTACGCATGTACAAGAATTGTAATATTCAAAAATACCTATAAAAACTGTATTCAACTATTTTAGTGAACACTGAACAGCAAAATAATGTACACCAAATATATCTATATTTTTTTCTATAGCGTATAATTTTATTTATGATTTTTAGAAATCGAGTTTTATCATTAACGGTTTAGATTTAAACGTACGATGTACAAAATCCAAAAATGTATTTTTGCCGTGCTAAATTATTGTTTTTATTATTTATTTATTATTATTCAAATAAAAGCGAATGTTCCGATTTTCATTATAAGTTCGAAAAAGACAATACTGATCAGAGGTCAGATAATGCTTATTTATAGAAACATAATCGAAATCGATTTTTATTACATTTTAAAATATCTATATATATTTCACCTAATAGTGGTATGAAATGGGTAATTTTTTAACTTCAATTATGGTATACAATATACAGTATGGTATCATACACCACTAGGTTGCGCTAAACAAAAGTTGGTTAAAAAATGTTATGAAATCCCAGTACTTTTATATTACCTATATTATTTGGATTTTATACCTCTACGGAATCGTGCAGTAAGAATATAATAAACGATTTACCAATTTCCAAATTCATAACCGGAACCAGTGGCGTATATAGAAATAATTTTCAGGTTGGGCTATAATATTATGTATAATATAGCAATATGATCTAACACCTAGAGGCTACTACTACTACATACTGTTACGACTGCAATTTCGCTTAAAATAAATTTATTGCAAAATGAAAACTATCATTGAATAAAATATTTAAATGAAACTTTTTTTAAATTATATTTACTATTTTTGTATTGTATAAATTATTGTGGAATTTACACAAATGGGCAATGAATTGCAATTAAGTTTTTAGTAAAATATATGGCACATCGTAAATTGTTGTATTTAATTTTGAAAACAACAATTAAAGTACAAACGTACATTTTTTTTTTTTTAATGAATGGAGTTATATCAATTGTTGCTTATAATTGAATTTTCTAATCTGATGCAGACTATTTGTAACGCATTACAAAAATATGGTATTAAAAAAACTTGTATTTGTAAAGGACGAGGGTTAGTGAATTATCAAAGAGGGCAACGATTGTTTTGTAATGATTGAATATATTTTATGTTATGTAGTAATCTCGATGCTTGAACGTTATTTGTTTCCTAAATAAAATCACAATAAACAATTGTAAAATTGTTACATTTTACCGAATTATAAATATGTAATAAAAAAGCCCGACAGAATACAAAGACTGATTCGTCTCGCTTCGCAAATCCTGGCCCATAATAATTATGGTGTAATAATATGAATTTTAATGAAAATAATATAACTATTTTAAGCAAACAAGGTTTATTATTATTTAATACATAGACTATAGAGTGTATAGAAATAAAAATATATGACTATTTATAAACAATAATTATTATATTAGGTACTGACAGTAAAAATTAATCATTGAAGATTTAACTACCAAAGCGACAAATAGAATTAAAAATCAAAATCAAAATTATAATGATTTTAATCAAAACTAAAATCCAAAATTTAATATTTATCAATATTAATATAATCCGCGGAATACGGTTGAGGATAAAAACAATCTTATAATATAATTKTATAGCCCGAAATAGTGAACAAGTACATATTATGCAATGTATCAATTATTCGTAACTCTTAATCTAAAATAGTAAAATGTTTAATACACCGCATATCGATCTATATAATAACTATACCTAGTATAACAACTGTTAACTATACGTACCTTATCACTAATCAGAGTATAAAACTATAAATGGTATACTGAGCCACCAAAATACAATGTGTTTTTATCATTGAATTTTGCTTACCTAATTACCAATTGGTATATTTGGTAGGTAGACACTATGAAAAATTTATATCTCCAATATGACAATTTAAATTGACATGCCCGTACATATTTTGTGCAGTTTGTTACAAATTTTTAACAAGGTTACTTATATTTTATTGTTTTTAGAAATCTTTTATCACAATAAAGCGCTTAAAACCCTAAGACTACCTACTCAGAACCCGAAACATTAAATTATTTTATACACTGTTGTAAATCAAAACTTTGTACTTAGTTTTTACTTCTTAGTACATTGGTATTTAAATCTTACCGCATCTGGTAAGTATTATCGTAAGATTATGATTTTATTTTTGATAAAGAAACAATTTCAACTCATAATTTAATCTAGTATTTTCTAATTCAATAAATTCGAGAAGATACTTTGTAACCTTAAAATGTCTTGTATATCACAAGTCTGGTTTTTAAAACATAATTAAATATAATTATATTATAAATGCAGTACTCGATACATACGCCTAAAAACTTGATATAACAATAATTAAAAATTGAGTTTATTATGTTTTACATAATAATACGTCTGTGTATAATAGATAATTTTTAATTAAACAATAATAAGTTATGTATACTAATAAAAAATTGTAACACCTAATTGGTTTTAAATATTGAATAAAACTTAAAGTCAATATTAAATATATGTTAATGAAAGTGAAATTTAAATAAATAATTTAATGTTTTTAATACATTTGAAAAATGTATTCTTGAATTAAATGGTATGTAAAGATTCTAAATGATTCGGGTTAGCAAGTTTATTGTAATTTTTTTATGATACCTATGTTAATTAATTTAAATTTTTATTCCCAGAGCTATTTCATTTAGAAAAAGGTGGCGTTTTTTATTTGAATTCTTGTAATTATCATGAATTTGAGAACTTTGTCTAGTTAAATTAAATTTAAATAAGATTGTTTAAAAAAAGATGTCATATTATATTAATTGTTTATTAAGCTGATTTTTATCGTTAATATAATATTTCTCTACAAGCTACATTAGCTGTAATTTCTATTGGTGGCAAAATAACTAAACTCGTGAGCGTACTGACTCTGGAGCATGCCACATACAATTGGCCATGTGGAAAACAATCTTCTCTTAAATCGATCCCTGCAAATTTCAAGGTTTGCCCTTGTAAATTGTTTATTGTCATGACAAAATATACTTTTACAGGAATCTGCATTCTCTTGAATTGGAAAGGATCATCTGATGGTATCATTAGTATGCGAGGAATAAGAACTGATTCTTTTGCAGATCTAGTCATAATAATAGCTTCAATCAACTTTTTTTGTAGACCAATAATCCGTAGATTATTTTCCATTGCACAATTTTGATGGACTAAGATTTTTGAGAAGCATTATAGGACAACCAATTTATAATATTAATAAATGTAGTGAAAATCGAAGAGGGTTGAGTGAATTAAGGAAATTCAACTGGATAATTAACTACATCATCTACTTCTAGTGCTGAACTCACTGATCTGTATTCCATATTTTTTGCTTTGAAAGAGTCAAATAATATTTTGTTTATGTCTCCTCCTGTATCATTTTTTGATGTCAATATGACCCTCTCGCATAACTAGGCCATTGATTTATCTTTTATGTTTTCGATGCCTGGATATATTTTGTCTGTGATTTACTTTATAGTTTTTACCACAGTACCAATTCCGGTCGGCAAAGTAATTTTTCTTCATATTCTGGATATTTTCCATCTCCTATTTTTAAGAGTAACTCTGAAAACTACTTAGCAGTCCTGTGTATTTTAGAATGTACTCGTATATTGATGGTCAAAGAAACTTTTTCTATTAGAAGCCACAAATATGAAGACTTGATGCAGGCTGCAATTTTATTAGATCGAGTTCCTCTTGGTACGACTGGTAGTTAGTCGAAAATCTCCAGCCAGCAGTACCGTGACTCCCTCCTATCAATAAATTCGATTTTTTCAGATCCTTCAGATAGTTGTTTAAAGCTTCAAATCATTTCTTATGAGACATTGGACTTTCATCACAAACTATGAGTTTGCATTTTTCAGAACTTTCACCATACTTGATTGTTTATTCATATTGCACGTTCTGGTCTCGATAGTGTTCAAATTGAGTGGCAACTTGAAAGCAGAATGAGCAGTTTTTCCTCCATGTAAAAGCGTAGCAGCAATTCCTGATGATACAGCTGCAATTGCAATCCCATACGAGCTTCTTATTTAGTCGGTTCCACCAGGAGCATCCAAAAATATATATTTTCCTAAATTTAATTTGATGCTATTTAATATTTGTTTGTTAACAAACCACTGTTCTTCAGTTAATGAGTGTTCATTTCGCTTAACAATCTCGTGTAAAGCAATTAAATCATAGCTTGTTTCTATTTAAATATTCTCTATTTTCTAACAGTCCACAAGATCTTGTAGGAGTCAGCAAACCATATTATTTTAAGCTCATTCCACCTAGATTCAAAACAAAATCTTCAATTAATACCAAGTAACATTTATCATAAAGTTCATCGTCTGTTATATTATTTTTCATATGTTGTCTATGGTATTGTCGCCGGATATCTTCCAAAAAATCGTCGTTATACTCTATTCTAAAGCCTTGAAGCGTCCGATGCATTGCGAAATATTAATATTACACTGAATAGTTCTCTCATTTTATTAGGTGAATAACATACTGCTGCTTATTCTAAAGCTAAATTCCACTGAAAGTCAATTTTTTATTTGAATTCTTCTGAGTATTATTCTGTAAAATATCTATCGAGTATCCATCTTCTCCATAACAAAACATTAAAGGGTATTTAAGTGCGTCGTAGGATCTGTGTAATTCGCTTATCCGTTGTATTCGATTATCGTGCCTTTGAATAATAATATCTCTTTTTTTCAAATTGCTGCCCAACTATTACTAAAGCTACTTCATTAGTCGTTGCTGCATTTTAACAGCCTTTGTTTCCATTAGTAGGTTTTATATCTGTGTTAATCACCACCTTAAAATTAGTAGAATGTTGATTCGCATTCTTTACTCTGATTTTAAATTTTCAGTATGCAATATATTTTGTAGCTGTTTAACTCCTGGAAAAAAATAAAACCTTCTTCAACAACTTGTTTAGCACCAAACGATGTCATTTAAAAACAACCATTATATTTCCTTGTACGATTAATGAAGTGATCATGATCAGGATGGTCCATGATTTTTCGTGTTATGTTACTGCGTAACGGTTTTGGTGGCTGTAGCAAGATATCGAGTTTTGTTCTTCCTAAATTGTAGCACATGCCAGGTGTTTGGTAAACCAGGATCTTAACCTTTTGTCTTTCCCGTACATTTTTGATTTTACGTGTCTATCTTAATAAATTGTTTTATTAGTGTGGACACCATCATCAAGCCGTGAAGTGTTATTGAAGGGCACAATAAGTGAAGGTTGGAAAACCAAAGGTATAGGATTGACCAAATGGATGCGAGACTAACGTCCTAGCCAAATCTGATGATAGATTTCAACGGTGAACTGAACTATAAATAATAGGACTACTGCGTGTTTTATCTCAGAAGCAGGCGCCCATTGAGACGGAAAAGCTAATTCTGATAACGGATATTAACAGTAAATAGAACTATACAACGGAACTACCACATGTTGAATCGATTTAGCGGGCTCGAAGTTTCGGATGTTCGATCATTCGTCTTAGATTTGTCGATGACGAAGGTTATCTATATGAACTGTGGTAATGAATTCGTAACTGCAGTGTTCCATCATCATATAGCCTGCAGAAATATATTATTTTTATTTGTGGAGAGATAGAGGCACTATTTCATCACTATATTGAATTTTCTCCGATAAATTAACGAATTCCTATTAATACACTTTCAATATTTTGTTATACGATACGTAGATACTTGAAATTGAATTTCCTGTATTTATATTAGCATTTTCTATGCACAGCAAAATTTACAAAATATTTTGATAGTTTTTGTACCATGAGAAATTTAAAATGAGAAAATTATATTACATAATGCCACACATACATTAGTTGAATAGAATGTACCTTCTCTAGTTTAACCATTGTCATATTGATCATAAATAGTACAATATAATTTTATAAATTAAAATAATGCATAATATAAATTACAATTACATCATTACAAGTACATATATTTTTATAATAATTTACTGGCAATAATTTAGGCTATTGTATACACTATAAACATACGTCAGACATACTTTAGATACATTGCCCGGTATTCTTGGACAACTCGTTGAAATACCATACTGTAGCGACAGGGTAAATACTAAATAGTAAATACGTATCCCGGTCAAAGTATAATGATTTAATTCTTTGCCCGTATAGTAAATTAGGCATTGTATTCGATTTAATAGACAGACATAGAGATTAGAAATGTCGGTGTTCAATTGTTAATTTAGTACGTATTGAATGGCATTGCTTAAATATTTTTATGAAATAAACAATAATTTATTGCGCACGTTTAATAATTTGTTACAAACCCATGCACCTAAATACCAGTATCACTTTATCGATATTATCAACGTGCCAAAAGTATTTAACAAAACATGGTMGACAAATCAATTTCAACATTGAAGATATCATATAATTATATTTTGAATTTCAGATATTATCATAGTATAATTTAATCATACGTAACATCATTTTGTTTATTTTTACACACTTCAGAATGTACAATTTGGTTTGTTAGTTAGTTTTAAGTTGAATTATTATTTAGTTATTTTAGTGAATTACAATTATTTAAAAAAATAAAAATATAGTTTCGTTTTTACATTCAAGTGTGTATTTTATATTTTTTGTTTTCACATTTTTTTTCTGTCTCATATTCTTACTTAAATTCTAAATTCAGCTTATTGAAATAAAAAACATGTCGATGTTTTTTGGGTAATCGTGTGTGTCATTTAATAAATTTAAAAATGCCAAGATCAAAAAAAACTTACCTACCTACAGTATAAATGCGTATGCGTACACCCGGCCAATTGTGTATTTGATATGACTGCTGTACACTGTAGATGAGATTTTGAGTAGATAAATTCTACATTTCTAAACTAATAATTAATAATCCACATGAAAAATTTTTTAATACTTTATTATGTAGGTAGTTGTTTTATAACATTTTGTTCTATTACCTACTCAAAGAGTTAAATCCACCCTATTAATTCTATTTACGCATAACATTTAAACTTAAAATTTATTTATGTAACTGGATACATAAATCGAACAAGATAAAAATTTAAATAGATATAAAATGAAAAATGAAAATAGAATTACGAACAATATTTATTTGATATTTTATTATTCGCGTAATCTTCATCACTGTTATTATTACTGATAATTTTAAGATAGCTGAATAATAATTACAATAATATTGTACAGTATATTTTGTATATTATATTAGTGTTGGTGGGTAATGGCTAATGGGCGGGGTTATAAAATAATATGTTATACTTTTATTTATGTATGTAGTATATAGATTAACACATTCAGAATAATTCGTTGTCATTATTTTTAATTTGCTGTATGTTAATTCGTGAAATGTTTTTTTAACCACCCTTATAACTGTTTTAACGTTTATACCTCTTTAGAAGGGTAAGTGTTTAACAAATATTATTTTTAATTTCTAATAATAAACAATCATTATAAAAAGGATTTTCAAAACAATTCGTTCCATATCAATTTTTATACAGCAAAATTAGTTTATAGTTTACTCGATCTAATTGAACTATTTAGGTAAAACAAAATAATCATCTAAACATTTGATACGAATGCTATTGGCACCTGCGTTACGATATAAAGTGGCCGCCATTGATTCAGTCTGAAAATCAAAAATACGTACTCCGACCGGTTGTATTATTATACAGTAATATTGATTTGCAATGCTTGTTAATTTTCAATCAATAATAGTATGAAAAACACGTTACTCACTCTATAATGAGTCTTAAATTTATAGGTTTCGGGCAACATTACAAAATTGTAATTCACAAACGCCAAACGTTGACTGTACCTACGGCTATAAAATAATATCAGCATCTGTATGGAGTTAATAAAGAAAAGCCGAATGAAAAGTTTAAAAACTCTATAAACGGCTTGTAAAATATTATTTTATTATAAATATTATTATATCTCGCGGAAAAAGCGGGCGAGACACAAAATTCACATAGCCGTCGTCGAAGTGCGCAGATTGCAGTGACTAATTTGTTTGACTGATGTGCATATCCGGTGCGCAATTATTTGGGCGCACATAATTAATAGTTTATATGGTGGTAAAAAACTGTAGCACTTGTATGCAGCAATTTTTATTATAACCATTAAATTGCCAGTAAT